ACTGTATGAGGGTAAGATTTCTCTATTTCCATAATTAAAAGTAAAAGTTTAGGTTTTTACTCATATTTTACATTCTCATTTATGGCTATTATGTAGAACAGACAAAAATGCATTAAAAAATAATGTTACTTTCACTGACTTTTGCAATTTCTGTAAAGTACTCACTGACTGAGTATGCTGAACCATTCTGGGGAAAAAAATCCCCAAATATAATAAATTATATAATGTATTAATTTATTATTTGTTCACTGAAGACTGAATTAAAGCTCAACAATTATATCTACAAATGAACTCTAAAATGAGATATTTTAAAATTAAGGATTATATAGATCCTTCGATTATTTTGAATTCATGAGTTGTTTGGCTTCTGCAGTTTTGCTTTGGGGCAAAACTATTCCTACTCATCTCAGGTCTAGTAGTGGTTGGTTCTCTGAAATGTAATGGAGAGAAACCAAGATCAAGAACAAGCAGAGATCTAAAACTTGCAAGATAAAATGGTAAAGAAATGGATAAAAGGACAACAAAAGACCACACACATTTGTGCACTGGCTGAGGTTATTAGTTTAGATACATCTGATTTTTTCTGGCCTTTGCCTCAGGAAAACTTTTCTTTAATACTCCTTTTTATTAAATGACTGCTAATTTAAGATGCTATGATGGTTATACCTTCCTGGGCAGCTGAACTCCACCACAACCACTTTGTCATCCCCCTTCATTAAAGAAAAATGGGGAGAAAATACAATGGAAAGGGCTCAAGGGTTGAGATAAGGACAGGAAGATCACTCATCAATTACTGTCATGGGCAAAACAGCCTCAGTGTAGGAAGATTAATATAACTTATTGCTTATCACTAGCAGACTAGAGCAGTGAGCAAACTAAAAACACCTTCCTCCATCCACCCTCTTCTCCATCCTTCCCCAGAATGGCACAGGGGAATGGGGAATGGAAGCTGCAGTCAGTCCCTAATGCTTCATCTCCACCACATATTCATGGTCACTCTGCCTCTGTTCCATATGGGGTCCCTCCCATGGGATGCCGTCCTTCCCAAACCGATCATGTGTGGGCTTCCCACAGGCAGCAGCTCTTCAAGAACTGCTCCAGTAGGGGTCCATAACACAGGGTCCATCCCCCAGGAGCAAACTGCTCCAGCACGGGTCCCCCAGGGGTGGCAGCTTCCCCAGACCCCCTGCTCCTGCGTGGGCTCCTCTCTACCAGCTGCAGCTCTTGCCCGGGGCCTGCTCCTGCAGGGGCTCTCCATGGGCTGCAGCCTCCTCCAGGCCACATCCACCTGCTCCACTGGGGGCTCCTCCACAGGCTGCAGCATGGAGATCTGCTCCATGTGGGACCCATGGTCTGTGGTCTGCAGCACAGTTTCTCACACATTCCTTTCTCCCAGCAACTGTGCCACAGCAGATTTTCCTTTTCTTAACTATGCTCTTGCAGAGGCACAACCAGCATCACTTTCTGGCTCAGCAGTGGCCAGAAATAGGTCCCTTTCGGAGTGAGCTGAAGCTGGCTCTGATCTGACATTGGACAGCTTTTGGGCTCTTCTCACAGAGGCAATCCCTGCAGCCCCCCTAGCAATCTTGTCTCTTGTCTCCTCATAAATGATTTTTGTCCCGTAAAACCAATAAACTTTTAATAATTACCTGAAAACTTACTGACTTTCGAACTGATTGATGAAATGTTGCTTCATATCAGCCAGAAATCAGTATTCTTACCTGAACAGTGAAAATTCTGGGCTTGAAACTGTTCAAACCATCTGTTTACATCCTTTCTTCACAGTGAATAAATTGGGTACTGCCGGTAGTAAACAGTCATCTTATTATAGATTGGCATTAGGATAAAAGTTTTTAAGAGTATTATTTTTCTCATGGCATAGTACTAAGTTACATAGCCTTCACCTTTAGTTCTACTTTTTCTTTATTGATTTAGATTCCAGATTTCAAACATTTATGTATGTTTATATACAAGGATGTTTCTCAGCTGGTGTGCTGCTTCATTCTAGTCACTAATACCAAAGGGAGTTTTTGAATTAATGTAGACTATTAGTATACCACAAAAAAAAAAAAAAAAAAAAAAAAAAAAAAGGCTATGCAATAAAGCAAGAAGATGTAATTTATACAACATTGTAAAAATATTTTAAGAAGGGCAGTTATTCGTTAAGAGCTAGGGAAATCAGAGAGATGATTTAACAAAATAGTCTAATAAAGATCAGAGTTGTGCTGAACAATAATAAAAAACAGAACTGAACAAAATCTCTGAAATATCTCTAAATATAAAGTAAAGTGACTCACTCTCACAACCTAGGCAGTTGATTATAATGGTGGTCAAGAATAGATCTCAGAATTTTATGCTACTCAATGCCTTAAACCTCTAGGTGCACCCAATAAAGTACCTAAAGATTGTAGCATACAATATTTATGTAACTAACTTTGAGGTACATGCTATCAGAGCCTCTGAGAAATCATTATGTACCACATGTGAAAAAACACATATGATGAAATTGTAATTTTTTTAGCATGCTGCAGATATTGTCAGCAAAATGTAGAAGAAATACTATAAAAGGAGGCAAATTTTTAATCCTATAATTTGAAAGTTGGATTGTAATGGTAACTTTTAAATATGAGTCAAGACTGAAGAGGATTTACTATATCCTTGGAACACACTGTCTGGAGTTTCTTTCAGCAGGAATGTATATACACTTTTTTTTTTTTTAATTTATTTTTTTTTTTAATTTAATGAGCAGAGTGTTTTCATGTTTTAAGTTTATTTGCAAAATGCCACTCAAACTTTCCACTCCTTACAGAAGAAAATGACCTTAACAGGGCCCTCAATGACTTCTGCAACTCTCAAGCCACTCCTCAGTTCTTGCTTCCCTAGATTTTATATGCTGACTGGATGTCAATGGATTATTTAACCTTCTTACAATTGTGCTTGCAGTCTCTTGAGAAGGTATGCAACATCATTCTGTTGAAAGTAGAACTACTTCATATTCAGTCATCCTCATTCAGTTATTCCGTAATCAAAATAAGATGTATCTGAAAAAATTTGAAATGTCCCAGGACAAACAGCATTGTTTTGAGTAATAAAAATAATGATAAAAGATTCAAAGGAGACCCTAGAAATATCTTCATGCTCCTGAGTAGAGCTAGATATATTCTTTGGAAGATGATTTCTACTTCATAAGTAGTTTTTTGATGCTTGCTGGAGACTCCTGTCAGTAAATGGACTATACGTTTTTTTAATGACAGATGAGTAAGTGAGTGAGATTTACTTTTCAATAAGGCAACTCAACAGCTAATCCCATGGTATGCTACTATTTCTTTCATGGATGTCATAGAGATATTGAATATATTGAAACAGATATATTCTGTATCTCTTCAAGTCTCTGTTGTTCCTGATAGAAGCTATTCATCAATGACTTTTGAGTTATGAGCACAGATACTAATCTGTCAAACATCTACTGGCTTACATAAGATAGTCAGCAATACTTTCAGATCACTCTGAAGTACAGTTGAGGCCTATATGGCCAAAGTGATATCATTGATACAAAGAAATAGGCTGTTACTTTGTAAGGAGGTCTGATGACTGCTTCTGCTTGTTCTTTTTCTCCTCCTTCTCCTTGCCTCCTCTCACCCCCCCCCCCACCACCTTTTTTTTCTCTCTTTTTTTTTCTTAAGGAAAAAATAATGAACATTATTTTAATATAAATTATTCTTCCCTAAACTGCTATCTTGCCATAAGACAAAATATAAAATAATTATCCATGGGACCTCAAATCCTGTTGTTTTTATTTTTCTATCACCTATCATTATCATCTCATGGGGGAAGAGATAGTAGGCAGATAAACTAACAGATTTTTGGCATTTATGCCAATTTCTACACAAAACCTTTTTCCACCTGACCACCTAATTCATTTTAGCTGGAAATGCATTTTTGCTTCTCTGAGTGAAAATTTAGGAAATGTGCAAATGTGTTTTTGTTTCATATTCCTCTCACTACTTTAGTTCAAAGATTCCAAACACTAAGAAGAGATGACTTGCTCTCAGGTCACCTAGGATAATTGTAATCTGTAGGACACAAAAACAAGGGACAGTCTTTTCTTTCTCTCTTTTTCTTTCCTTCCTTCGCTAAAAGGTAATTGGTGAATTTTCTGTTAAAAAATCATGTATGCATTTTTCTAAGTTCAGATCTAGTTAATGTAACCTGTTGATTTCCTAGGAGAGGAAGGGAACTAAAGAATACTACCTGCGGGAATGGAGTCAAACTGAGGCAGGGGCTGATTAGGATAGACAACGGGAAAAGGTTCTTCACTGAGAAAGCAGTTGCACACTGGAACAGGCTCCCCAGGGAAGCATCCACTACACTAAGCCTGTCAACATTTAAGAAGAATTTGGACTGTGCACTTAGTCACATGGTCTGAAATTTTGGGTAGACCCGTGTGGTGCCAGGAGTTGGACTCAATGATCCTTAGGGGACCGTTCCAACTTGGGATAATCTATGATTCTATACCTGCATTTGGTTTCAGTGAGAATTCAGGCCCTGAAAACAACCGAAGTTTCTTCTGGATGGTGTTTTTTTCTGAATAGGATAACTTCATTTCCCTTTTGAACACTTACAAGGATGAAGTAACAAAAGTGACAAATGCAGAAAACAGTACCTGAGGCATAGGCTACTTTTCAGCTGGCAGCAGACTATAGGTATGATATTATCATTTCAGACAAACATGATCTATGTAATGTGAAGTGTTCCGGCATGCTTACGCTCTGCCAAAGGCCAGAAAATGGGACCTTCATTTTAAGACTGTTTGGAAAAGGAAACAAAAACAACAACAACAGAGAAGGAACTTTTGTTCACCTAAATTTTATTATTTTGCCACTCCCCCACCCCAGTAAAAATAAACAAAACAAACAGGGAAAAAAAAAAAAAAAAAAACACATTGTGGCATAGAGGTATAATTTCAGTTCACACCAGAAGATATCCTTCTCACTGAAGCGTAGTTAAGCCCCACAGAGTGCCAAAAAAAACTGCTAAAAAGTAACGTGTTTACAAGTTAATTTTACATGTCAGCATTATTTACTTGTCCGGTCTTGCCTTCAGGGCTTGACCTATCCGGGAGGGGGTGGGGGGGGGCGGAAAACATGTAATGTCATGCAAGGTTGTTTGGGTGAATGACTGACAATGTGACTTTAAAATTTTTAACTGTTTGCACAGAAGCAAAATACAGAAGAGTATACTATCCCCAAGGGAAATGTAGAAACTACCCATTGCTTCTCAGGTTTAAAGGTAAAAGGTGTAAGCATCCGTTAAGGTGTAAGAAAAAGTGTAATCAGCTGTTTGAGTACAATCCTTATGTATACAGGAACATTTTCCTCTCCAATTTCCAACTTGGAGTGAAACATTTGACATCGTGCTCTTAGATCAAGATTCTGATTCTAACAGCAGTTCCTACTGCAAGTTTCTGGAGAAGAGAGAAGCCAACCAGTTCTGACTGCTTTGGATGGGATGGAGAGAGCAAACAAGTGTAGGTGAAGGAAATAAACCCGTAGGAATGTTTCCAAATAACTGTCGTTGTCCAAAAGCTTTAAATGGGTTGAATCCTTGAAAGCTAATTAATGGAAACTCAGGTAGCATCACTGAATTTGAAGTAGTAAGACAGACTTGCATCGCTGCAGAGCCTCAGCTGGAGTTTAAATTGGCACCGCCTCCAACTTCATGAGAATGGAAGAGAAAAGCCTATCTTTCTACCATGTCAGCTAATGGCAGACTTGGGGGGGGGGGAGGAAAAAGAAGTTGTTAAAACCAAAAAGTAATGTTTTCTTAGGACATTTCACCCAATAGGTAGTATTTAGGAGTAACCAGACTACAAATGAAAGGGAAGATGAAACAGTAGAAGGTACTTGCGTGGCCTTAACTTACATGGCAAATGACTACAACCACAATCTGCAATGATTTAGAAGTGCCTTACACCATTCCCCCTTGAGACAGAAAAACGGGATTCCCGTAGTATTTAAGGGGAGTGCAATCCCTCTCAAAATATGAGGGCCTAAGGTACACACACCACTGAGTGCTGCAAATCTTAAGACTAGGCAGCACCAAACTCAACTGAGAAGGGAGGAGGGGTTTCTTTGGACATTCATGTAAGAGAAAGGAAACTCAGATTTTAGCCCTACGCAACTGTTCTTGGAGACAGGCTGGGAACTGGTTCTTTTGAACTCAAGGTTCAATTTCAGCACCTTCAAAGATGAAGAAATGGTTGATTGCCTTGTCGAATCGTGTTCCAGACAGAAAAAGTCACACTCCTATTAGAAGAAAGAGCTTGATGTCTTCCTTCAGTCCTAAAGATGAGTTTTGCATTCAGACGTACTCCCTCCAAGGTGAACAGCTGCCTTTACTTTTTGGGCTCCTATTCTGCCTAAGAGATTTGTAGCTTCAAACTTCATAATATCTCCTCTCAATGAAGGGAGGAGGTTGCAGATGCAGCAGAGGGCAAGACAACTTCCCAAACTGCATTGCATTGTGACAAAACTACTTTAAAGTGTTCTTGCCAGGGCACAGAACTCCTTCGCCAACCACCACAGCTTACACATTATGGCAAAAAAAGGCTGGAGCGCATAGTTGACTTTTTTCTGTATACTTGCCACTTCAGGAGCCAGTCAAGCTGAGATGACAGCTTGAAATCCCAAGTGTGGCGTAGGATCTGCTGTGCACCACAGAACCTGGTCCCCATAAGATGCGATGCTTTGGAATGCTGTGGCCGGTGCTGACATCCCTTCTACAGTTCCTCCAAAATACTTGCAGCAATGCGTTGTGTGCTAAGTCACACCACCTTTACAGAGCGCTTTATCTTGGCACCAGATCTGGGCCTTTTGGAGTAGCAGGTTTCTCACTGAACCCCTTTCCCCCGCCCCCCCCCCATTGTTTTTATTTACAACTCGAGCACCCATGCCTTTAACATCAGCATCCAGTTTACTTTTTCTCTCACTTCCTCTGCATGGTCACATTGGTAAAACTGCAGGGTCGCTCAGGCCTTGTTCCCACTCTGTCATCTTCCTTTCATGGCAGAATGCTTTCCCCAATACCTCAGACTCCTGTTTTAACAGGTGGGGAGGCAGACATGTTCTCTCAGGTGGCAGACCTCTTCCAAACTTTCTCCACAGCTGAGACGCAGGCCTGTAGGGAAGATGAGAGGCTTTCTTCATACTGCTTTTGACTTACATGTTAGGAAAATTGCATTTCTGTTATGAACAGCACAGTCTCGCTATTTCCACTTAGTGAAAGTTACGATAATGCCACCAGTACCTATCCCAATCTGTTTCTACTTACCACAGGGCTTAATTTGAGTTCACATTAAGGCACCTTTTTCACACTGCCTGTTTTTGAAGCTTAAGAAGCAGTTAGGAACATTCTGCAAAGTCAGGCTTAACTGTAAGCACTTGAGCTTCTGAGTTGGTGGGGCTTTATTTGTATTTATTTTTATTATTTGTATAAGGCCTTGAAAGGGAGCTTAGAATCCACAGAAGTAATTTCACTGAAAACAGACAAGGTGAAAGAAGTACTCAAACTCCTCAACATTAAAGAACTGTAGAACCCAGGAACACTTACCCGCCAGCTCCTGAACTTCAGTCACTTCCACACAGCTTCACAGTGAAGTCACACCACCAGGCTCTCACTATACTGAGGAGGCACCAACAACACAGCTAGCTCATAGAGTCACTCAAACTATTTCACAGAGATGGGAGGAAACAAGATGGAAGGAAACACAAAGAAAAAGCAGCCCACTGGGGAACACTGAGTCCACTTCACCACAACAACAGAAAAACACCCTAGAGAACCTGAGCCTCAAACTCCCCACCAGAAAGGCACTTCTCTACAAGTCTTCAGGCTTACTATATAGCAAAGGTCAAATGATCCACACCTGGCAGGTTTCACTTCACAAGGGTGGAGCCAAGACACCTTGTGGAATAGGCTCGTCTACCTGTCTTCAGTCTTTTAAGGTCAATTGCTCCTTATCACTACTAGAAATAACCTGACAAGGGGCTTAGTGGTTAGGGTTGACCTAATGAATGAACTGCAAAAGGTGCACAAGGGTCATATTTCTGTCAGTCATTCTGTGAGGAAACGTAGTACAGAGTTAAAATAAATAAATAAATAGATAAATAAACAAATGAAAGAAAAGAAATAAAAGAAAAAAAGAAAATGACCTTAAAGACAAAATTGCTATCATAGAGTTTCATCTGTCTAGTCACGACAGATAAAGAATATAACAATCAGAATTACTTTTCTTGGCATTAATGTTATTTAAATCTGCTTTTCTGAGATGTCTTCTTGATGCAGGACTTTCCAAAATCTAGCACCGTGACCTCTGACTACACTATTTATTTCCGCTGTGTATAAGCTATCACATATAAATGCCAGGATCCGAATCCTCACTCACTATTCAGGTCAAGGACTGGGCTGAAGGTTTGGGCTTTGATTTGGGTACATGCCTACATTGTTGTTTCCTGGCAGGTCATGGGAAGAAGAGCGGCTGGCCTGGGGGAGCTTATGGACACGTGGCTTTTAGGCTGCAGCCAAAGTGTTCCTCTAGATCTGGAAGTCTGAAGAGGGTTGCACTCCCCAAGCTCAGATACAACCACATGTTAGTCTGGCACAACCGATTTTTGTGTTCCTTGCACTGGCTGTTCTTTCACCTCCTCTCCAGAGGCAAGAACATGAGTCTCTTCTGTGCTCCTTCATTAGTAAACAAAGAAGGAGAGATTAAGGCCTCTTTCTTCAAGTCAGTAAGAACCTGGGCTACAAAGATGGCAAAGGGCCTAGAGGGGAAGACGTATGAGGAGCGGCTGAGGTCACTGGGCCTGTTCAGCCTGGAAAAGAGGCAGCTGAGGGGAGACCTCATTGCAGTCTACAGCTTCCTCACGAGGGGGAGTGGAGGGGCAGGTACCAATCTATTCTCTCCAGTCACCAGTGATAGGACCCACCGGAATGGTGTCAGCCTGAGGCAGGGGAGGTTTAGGCTAGACATCAGGAAGAGGTTCTTCACTGAGAGGGTGGTCGCACACTGGAACAGGCTCCCCAGGGAAGCAGCCACTGCACCAAGCCTGTCGGTGTTTAAGAAGCATTTGGACTGTGCACTTAGTCACGTGGTCTGAAGTTTTGGGTAGACCTGTGTGGTGCCAGGAGTTGGACTCAAGGATCTCCTCAACAAACTGGCTGATCGTGGCTGGGACTGGCGTACGCTTCGTTGGGTTAGAAACTGGCTGGATAGCCGGGCCCAAAGGGTTGTGGTGAATGGAGTCAAATCCAGTTGGAGGCCGGTCACTTGTGGCGTTCCCCAGGGCTCGGTACTGGGGCTGGTCCTCATTAATATCTTTATCGATGATCTGGATGAGGGGTTCGAGTGCACCCTCAGTAAGTTTGCAGATGACACCAAGTTAGGTGCGTGTGTCGATCTGCTCAAGGGCAGGAAGGCTCTGCAGGAGGATCTGGATAGGCTGGACTGATGGGCTGAGATCAACTGTATGAAGTTCAATAAAGCCAAGTGCCGGGTCCTGCACCTGGGGCGCAACAACCCCAAGCAGAGCTACAGACTGGGAGAGGAGTGGTTGGAAAGCTGCCTGGCAGAGAAGGACGTGGGAATGATGGTTGATAATTGGCTGAATATGAGGCAGCAGTGTGCTCAGGTGGCCAAGAAGGCCAACAGCATCCTGGCTTGTATCAGAATCAGTGTGGCCAGCAGGTCTAGGGAAACGATTGTCCCCCTGTACTCGGCTCTGGTGAGGCCGCACTTTGAGTACGGGTGCCAGGATTTTGTCTTGATGATACTTACGTGTCCCTTCTAACTCAGAATGCTCTATGATTCTATGATTCCATGTAAGACTGCACAAATCTTTAACTTACTTTCAGTATTCATTATCCATTGCCATCATAGCAGTTGATACAGTATATCTTTCTCAAGAGATACTACAGAAATCATGAAATAAATTTTGAAGTATTCTACTTATATCATAATAATTTTATTCAGCAGGCAGGAGAATATACCTTCCAAGCCCATCACAAGCATGTATTCTTCAGGTCTATAGCCCACATTAATCAGGTAGTAACTAATACGTTAGTCTCCAACTTTAAATTAGGTTCTCCAAAACACGGTCTCTACTGACCAGAAAAATAAATGTAGGAAAACCAGTTTTTTAATTTGAATATATAATGAAGCGTTCAGAAGCGAGCAATATGAATCTTCCCTCCTTTCTTTGCAGTCATTTTGCTCCCTTTCCTTTGAGAGATTCTCACCTGTCAGGAACAAAATTATCAGATATTTCATTGGGAAAGAAGCCACTGTTCTGTTATCTATTTATTCTTTAGTGTAACAAATCTACAGTTTTGGTTTGAATCTTTAGGCACTACTGCAATAATAAACTCCAAAGGGATTTTAATTTTAGATCTAAAAATAGATAACAGAACAGTTATAATATGATAATTCTGTTTTCAGAAACGATCTGCTACAAGATTCTTTCCTTCACTGAAGGAAGGTATAGATTTTCTGAGACAATTGATATGTTCTATAAATGTTTTTCAATTGTTTATCCCTTACAGACCTATTTCCCACATCTCTTAGTTTAACAAGATGCAAACAATTGGCTTTTAGGAAGTATTGCTCAGAAAATGCAAAGAATGATTAAAAGAATAAACTATTACTCGTGATTTCTTTTTGTGCACACCAAATTATTTACTGCCAATTATAGTCTGACTTTTGCTAGATATTATGTTTAAATTATTAAGCAAGATTTTAAGTAGGATTGGTTTCATAACTCCTGATATACATTTTTTCTCTTTTCACAGTAGCATTAACAAGATCTCTACTAGGCAAAAACCTACCAGAATAACTTGCAGATCACTACTAAGTTAATTGCTGTTATTTAGCAATATAGAGGCATTAAAGTGAAGATGTGGAACCATTCTTACTTAAACTTATAGCAATACCTCTACTTTTTTTCATCCTCTCAGACCACATCTTCATTTAAAAAGCTTATGTTACATAAAGAACACACACACAAAAAAAAAAGTAGACTCTGTTTACATTCTGTGGATCACTGGATTCTTGATTTAACACTCTCCCATTTATTTTTTTTTCTTAAAGTCTCTTACCTGTGTAGTAAAGGTGAAAAGGAGCTGTTTGTCTAGGTTTTCTTTGTTGTCGTTGTTGTTTTTTTTTTTCTCCCTATAAAACAAAGTAAATCAGTAATCAGAAACATACATTCCTGTTAAATTCATGCAAGTCACACATAAATGCTATGAAAGGTTTATAATTTACATTAGATTTCCTGAAACACAATCTGTACTGACCAGAAAAACAAATGCAAGAAAACTAGTTATTTAATTTGAATGTTTATTTGACATATTCAGAAGCGAGAAATATAAATCTTCCCTCCTTTCCTTTCAGTTGTTTTGCTCCCTTTCAGATGAGAAGTTATTATTAAATTTAATTAGCTTCTTAGTTCTTGAGTGAAAGAGCAATCACCTAGATCTTCTAGTTAAACATTACACTCTTAAAAAGAAAGGACATTTTGAATCTGTACATCTCAGTGTTTCTACGGTCAAGGTTAGTAACCTCCTCATTTAGCCTAGAGAAACTGAAACATAGGGAAGAATGTCTTTACCAAAAAAAATATTGCATAGTCAGACTACCAGAGCTGGGAGAAGACAGCTCATTCCAAAAGGCTTCCTTCCAATGTTTTCACACTGTTATTAATTTCAAAATGAGCAGTATTACTTATATCTGTACTAAGCTACAAATCTCCATTCCCAGAATCTTATTTCATTTAATTGTAAGATGACAGAACAGTTTGACCAAGGTCAAATGTATACAATAAAAGTAAAATAATTAGGTGTAAATCGGCTAAGAGACTTTGATACAAAACTTGATGTAGGCAACAGGATTACCACTCTAACAGAAATAGAAGTCAGCTTGCGAAATCAACCAAAAAATTGTGGGTATTTGCTATCAGTGAAGTGTTAAATTTTGATTATACAGGGACATAAAAAGACATGGGTTTACATAGACGTATGCTTAGAAGACTTTAATAGCAGCACTGGTATTCTTCTTGAGATTCAGAATGCTATTATTCTGATGCAGAGCTCCTAAGTGATACAAGATGATGATTTTTCATCTCACCATGTAGACCAAAAGAAAACTGAAGTTAAACTGGTATCCCTATAAAGTAAAAATGAAGTTAATAGTTAACCCAAAATTCATCTTATTTCAAATAAAAGTTTTAGTTTTCAAAACAAGTTTTTCATGCATGTGTTTCTTTTTTTTTTTTTCAAGATAATTTCATGTACATTTTTTCAAGATAATTTCATGTACACATATGCACATTAGATTTATAGATACAATTATTTCATTTGGAGACTGTAACTGAGAGTTCTGATTTACAGATATCTAAATATCCAAACAAAGATTATTCAAGATGTTTTGCAGACATTTATACTGATGTCTAAATAACATGACTAAATAAATGCTCACACTTGCATTTTGCTACCTGTGGGAATAAAACTGATCATTTTTTGCTATGATAGAGTCCTCTTAAATTTCTGCCTTCTTTTTCCTGATTATACATCCTGTATTTAACATCTTGATAATCACTATTTAAAGTGAATGGATATACCATGGGATGAGTTACTAATTGTTATGAATAAGAATAGAAAACTGAGTCCATTGAAAGAATTGTAGTTTTACTACCTTCATTCTACACTCTTATTATTTTTTTTTAAATCTACTAAAAAAGAATCATAGAATCATAGAATCATAGAATATCCTGAGTTGGAAGGGACCCTTAAGGATCATCAGGTCCAACTCTTGACACCGCACAGGTC